AAATGACAACTGTGTTGAGTTAGCTGATAGTGTTGTTCAGGTCTTCCATATACTTGCTTGCTGTTTTCTGTCCTCTTGCTCTATTGATTATAGGAAGTGGAGCACTGAAGTCTCCAAGTGTGATTGCAGAAAAAAAAAAAAAAAAAAAAAAAAACTCCTTTCAGTTCTATCACTTTTTGCTTCACACACTTTGAAGCTCTATAGTTAGGTGCATACACATTAATAATTATTATGCCTTTTGTATAAATTTATCTACTTTGTCTGTTATTAATCTAGACACCCCAGTTTTCTTTTCATTAGTATTTGCATGGTATATCTTTCTTCATCATTTTACCTTTAACCTAACTATATCATTACATTTAAAATGGATTTTGTGTAGAAAGCATATGCTTTTTTAATGCAATCTGGCAATCTCTGTCTTTTAATCAGTATGTTAGGCCATTTACATGTAACATAACTACTGATATGGCTGAACTTAGGTAGGTCTACCACTTTATTTTTCGTAATTTTTGTATTTTTAGTAGAGACAGGGTTTCACCAATCAACTCAGGTTTATATAAGAAGTTCTGTCTTGCCTTCTTTGGATGATGCTTCCCATGTCAGCTCCATTTTCAAAGGTGTTTATGTCTACCCTATACACATACCAGTTAGTCTGAAATTTGGAATAATGGTTTATATTATAAGTTAATTCTAACATCTGTTGTTATTTCCTTGGTTCTGTTACATGTATGTAGCTCACAGGTGAGCCCAGGATTTGCATCAGTTCCTAGAAAGAATTATGAGATCTCCTTACCAAGCTCCCTCCTCTAGAATCACTCCCACTCATCAGTTCTCAGGGGCCTTTTTCCCAGTCTTCCGACTACAAAGTCAGAGTTTATCTCAGGGTTTTAGACTCTCACACTGTCAGGCAGTCTGCACAGCAAGAGAAAATAAAAATATATGATAGGATTTTCCTCACATTCTTCAGACTACAGGGGCCACCGTTCCCAGTTCCTCTGGCAGAGAAAGCCTCTTTCCTGGGATTTTAGGTGCCCATGCCACCACCATGACCACCACAGCAGCAGTTCAGCTTTCCCTGCAACTGGCTTCAGGGTAGGGATAGAAGAGAAAAAGAGAGGGAGGGAAAGGAAACGGGGAAGTTTTTAGAAAGAGGAGTTTCTCTCAGGTTTTGTTATTTTTTTTTCCCAGAGTTCTGTGACTTGGTGCATGTCAAAGCCAGTCGATAAAAGAGGAAAGAATAAATCCAGGAGCTCACCACCACACCAGTTTTTCTTCAAGTTCTGATTGCCCTCTTCAGTGTGTCTGTTATCATTTACTTTCAGAGCCCCTAGTTAGTTGCTTTTATAATCTGATCAGAACTTTTAGTTGTAACCAGTGGGAGAGATATATTGTAGTGAACTTAGTCTATTTTTGATGATGCCAGAAGTTCAATCCCTTTTTGCTACAAGGGGTTATGAAACATCCCAAGTAACACATAATGAAAATCTGAACTGGAATAGAAGTGGGAATGAAAAGGAGAGAAGCTACAGAACCACTAAGACTTAGTAACATGGTTATGAAGACTTAAAAAGGTTAAATATTACCATACATACTTAAAAAAAAAAACTTATAGAAAATCCTAACTTTACAAATGATTTGTCAATACAAATGGGCATTAGTATTCTGCCCTGCTGCTAAGGAAATTATATTCTTGGCATCTATACAGGTTTATTCTTGAATGGATTTTCCTACAGAAATAATCCTACAAATGCTAGTGCTCACCATCATAGCAGTTTTTCCATTTGGTTCTTTTTTATACCTATTTTTATGCCTCAGGTCTTGAAGTTATGGTTTCTTGGTTCAAATGGTGTTTCCATCTCAAAACAGTCATGGACCACAGTGTATTACTTAATCCCTTTAAACTTAGTATTCTCATTTATAAAACAGGAATAATAGTATTTCCAAGAAAAAGTTATGGGATAACCCATATAAAGCCTGAGCACAGTGCTTGGCAGACAGTAAGTGCCCAGTAAATGTTTTACTGAATAAACGAAATTTTTGCCCTAACTTTAACAGCTATCTTATTTACTTTTAAAGTTCAAACACGTCAAACTCCATCATAACAATGTTTAAACGCTTTAAACAATGTAGAAACCCTTTTCTGTAGTAATCTATTTTGTGTTTGAATGAAGTTACTTTACCTAACAAGCATCTTTTTTTGGCTGAATAGTTTGGGAATTTCATTTCTTTACTTTATTCATCTAATTCAAGAAAGGGATTTTTTTTCTCTCCTAATGAATCTAAAAAACTGTAAAAAAAAAAAACCTTACCACAAACCTCTATCAATTCTACCTTTGTCTACCTGAAATGCCCAAATATGGCTTACGAATTACACAAACAAATGTGAAATGCCAAGACCATATAGATTCTTGACTATATAGAATATCTTGAGGAAACAGAGTCTTCTTAAAAAAACAATCCTGAGTGAAGCTGAGTTCCTTGCCCAAAGAATGACCAACCAATCTATATGCCACCAAAGAACATACAAACCATACATAATTATTATATAACATATCTGAATTGTATGAAAACATTTCAGAGGTATTGGAGACTCTGACAGCACCTGTGGTAAACCCTTCTGTGTACCTTTGATGCCAGGGACTGAAAAGGCTTGTGCAAATAACATAAAACCAAATGACTCTGGCTGCAAAGGCAATCAGTATCAGATATAAACAAGGGAAAAACAAAAAAGCAAAATGAATCCAGAAAAGTAAATAGATCTATTCCCTTTGACTCTTTGTTGTTCAACTGATTCTATTTCTTTTGCATGGAAATTTATTAGAAGCATTTTAATGTGCATCCCAAAGGCTGCCTTAAATTTGCATCCATGCTTAATAGCAGAGAGAGCAGTACAGGTGCTATGGAAAAGCAATGGAAGTTAAATCAGAATCTGTGGGTTTTTACAGTTTGTCACCTCACTAAGTCTCAGTTTTCTCATCTGCAAAACAGCAGTGAAAATGTCTACTCTATAAAATTGTGATTATTAAATATGGTAAATGAAAATAATTATAAAATATGGAAACATAAATGAAAATATGAAAAACAAATAAATGAAAATAGAACAGTGCTATTCAATAGAAATATAAGTTGAACCATGAACATGAGCCACATAGGCAATTTTAAATTAAAAAACGCAAAGAAACGTGTGAAATTAATTTTAATAATATATTTTATTTTGCCCAATTTATCCAAAACGTCATTTCAACATTTTAATCAATATAAAATGATTAATAATTGAGAGGTTTTTTTTTTTAACATTCTTCTTCTTTTTGTCCTGTCTGAAAATTGGTGCCTATTTGATACTGACAATACAGCTGCATTCAGACTAGCCACATTTCAGGTGCTAAACAGCCATGGTAGCTAGTAACTATCATACTGGACAGCATATGCTTAGAACCAAGGTGAGGCTTCACACATGTTTACTACATTCAAATAGTATTTACTATCAGATAAGCCCTGTGGGACTTGGGAAGGTTATTTTTAAAATTGATGCATTAAAGAGAGCTTGTGTTTTTATATTGGTATAGTAGTTAATATGTGATACATAATAAGAATTTAAAATAAAATATTCCCTATAAATGACCAGACTATATACTTGACCAAAATAAAAGCAACCAAAAATGACGACCATAGGTCACTTTGTAGTTATTTTATTAGGACTAAAATTATATGTTAATTTGACATAGAATCTAATAATCTAAAAAAAACCTGACATAACTATAAGTACACAAAACAATTCAAACTATAAACAATTCAAACTGGCATTTCCGTAGAGAAGGAAAGGGTCCTGGAGTTGGAAATCCAAGTCTTTAGTAATAAACTACAATTGCTAAAGTATACCTTTCATCAAAAAAACATGAGGAGAAATCACAATATTTTTCTATATTGCAAAAGTTTTCATTTCACAGGACCTGCCATGAGTAAGTCATATTACAGTTTCAATAGCTTTATTTTTTTCCTTTCATAAAAATTTATTCTCTAAATTAGAGGATGACTACCCATTATGACAATTACTTATCGCATCATTTTAATGCATCTTAATGACTCATTGGGGTTAAAATGTCAAATATTCATACTACATTCATTATTAAAATTACACTGAATAGTATAAGGTAGGCAAATTCTTGTATCGTGAGCTCAAAGAGTAGAATGAAAAATATAAAGAAACATTTCTTCACTGCAAGATCTTTATGAAAGCTGTCCACAAAGCCTAAGGTGGATGTATGTGCACATGCATACACACATATGATATATTTAGTATTATGTTCTTGTTTTCTGTGGGTGGAGACGTCCCTGCAACTGGCATATTTTCAGCAATCTTCCTCTGGGCTGACCAGCAGGGCAACACAAGTGGAGGGTAAAATGTACTATTAGAAAGGCAACGACTACTTCATTTCAAATCTGACAAGGACTATTTAGTTACCTACTACAACTTCTACATTACAAAGGGCTATGACATTCTTAATGATTGATAGAAACTTTTTGGACTTTGATTTTTTATTTACTTGTATTCAGAAGATGGCACTTCTACAATACAGGCCCTCAAACACTTTGTCCGCACACTCGGCCAGAAGCGACACATAAAGAAAAAGTGCTAAAGCAGACTTCGTTCAGGGCGCCACCTATGTGCCTCTCTGCAGTCTCCTTACTAAGAACTTGCCTCACTCAGCCCTGTTCAGGCTTAAGATCTGCAATGGGTTCACACTACAAATTGGTAAAGCTTCAAAAGACAGGGTTTAAAGATTTATATCATCATATTTATATTCGCTTAAACTCTTCCGAGGAAGAATCTATTCCATCAATTAGATATGCATTTCCTAAACATTAGCGTTTGTTAAAATACAGACCACCCCCCATAGCCACTGATACCAAATTCAAACACAATGGCATACACTGTACCATTTTAAACACTTGGCCAAATTTCAGAAGTAAAACTACCCAATGTAGTAAGAAAGACTCACATCTGGCATTTCTGTACAGAAGGAAAGGGTCCTGGAGTTGGAAATCCAAGTCTTTAGTAATAGGTTCTGTCCTATTTTCCATGCTCAGCCTATTCATAATGGTGAATCCGTGCTTTGGAGAAGCAGACCTAAAAATCACAAGGGGTCAGAGGGAAATCAATAGACAAATTGCTTAGTATGCGATATTTTCAGTATAAGTATATTCTGATGTAGCTCTCAACCTTTGTTTGCATATACAGCTTTATGCAAGCAGCCTGTACACATACTTCTTTACCACTGGCTTCATTATAGACTAATTCCCATAATGCAGCAGCACTGTCAACATGACTCGTTTCATAAAATTGAGTTATACTTTCTTATTTGTGGCGTGTGTGTATGTGTGTGTGTGTGTGTGTGTGTGTGTGTGTGTAGCTGTTTATTTCTCTACCTAGCTTGTAAATTCCTTTAAGGCAGGGTAACTACTTTTTAAAACATTACTGACTTTTAAAGAATACTTTTTAAAAGTTTAATTAAAGATATTTTTAAACAATCTTGGTTGTTAAAGTATACATCGCAATTATATGAAGAAAATTTTCATAGAAAATGTTAAGTGTTAGTCTGAAATTGAGGGCTACAAAATCTCTTAGTGATATGAAGCAACTCTGGACAATGAACTTATGAGTTTACAGAGCCTAAACTAGAAGTTTATATAACAAAGCAAATGGCAGATACTTTGTTTCTTCAATGCAAAGCAAACAGCTACATAGATAAACCACTATAAAAGTTTTTCTCTGTAAAAATGTGACATTTAGTGACGTTTTATTTTCATTTCACTCAATAAACCTTGAACACCTACTCTGCCAGGCAAAAAGAATCCAAATTATACTGAGTATAAACTCTAACAACTACATGTGCATTTGTCTACCCTTGGGTGACAGCCATATAGTAATTCAACTGTGTAACTTCTGGTGACAAATGAAACACTACATACTTACACACTGAAGCTGAAGCAAGCAGAATTCATTTATTTACTTTAAATGAGGGTGCTAGGGCTGTTATTAACAAACCCACAGAAATGTTATGAGCAACAGGAAGACAAGTTGTTTATGTCTTAGTTTTACGTTACTTCTATTTGATATTGATCAAGGAACACAGCTACATAACCACTGCCAGGATTTTCTTCTGAAACCTCCAATTTTAAAATTGATGGGAGGTGATCCTTGCCCAGCTTTTTTTACAAAGGGGTAAAGCGGTGGTAAGCATACAACCAACACCAGAAATAATCATGATAATCATTTCTACTTAAATTCAGAGGAAGAATAAAAACAAACTCCCCAAGAACTCTATTAGGGGGTCCTCTGGAAGTGTCAGGTTCAGAAATTACCAGTGGGTGTCTCTATGAACTCTCTATTACAGAAAGGAAGGCATAGGAGGAAATAAACGATTTTTTAAATGGGATTAAGTGTTTTCATACAAGAATGAGAATCTGATTCTTCACGTATTTCATTATCACAACAGGATCTCACCTCTTTAATAGTACAGCTACTATACCATCTCATAATTTAGAAAATACGCCAAGGGGATAAATGTGCCAATTGCTCTAAAGCAACTTCTTCTATAAGAGAAGTCAAAATATATCACTGCCAGCTCCATTCTCTGTACCAACACCCCCCACACACACCTTGAGTTTTACATGCTTTTTGTAATTCTCTACTGAAGAAAGACCTCAACATGCTAGGATCTGGGAGGTTTTTGTTTTGCAGGGGATAAGGGAGGCATCCTATTCTTGAGGAGTTAGATTTGGAGAAGAGACTAAAAAACAGGGAAGGATTTTGTTTTCAACTTCATGTTTTGTTTAATTCAGAGCTCCATTAGAGACATGAAGTATAGTAAGAAATCTGAAAATACAAACTTGTATTTGGTTTGGGTGCAAAAAAGAAAATATTTGTATGATTTGTTACTCTTCCACAGCTAAAAAAAAAAAAAAAAAAACAACTCTACTGAAAGTTCCCCAAATCAATCATTAATACATACTAATACATCTTTTCTGTCACTTCTCCAAGAAGTAATAATGCCTGTTGTGAGAAATGCGTGACAGTGTACCCTGCATGCATGGCACACAGTACAGTTCAACCCTGTGCCTTCCGTGGTGAACTTCAGAATCCTCAAGAGCACTCACACGCTACTGAATAAACTTGCCTTGGGGCATGCTCTGGTGCTGGATGTTTGGCAACATAATGCAGACTAATATGCCAAGGGTTCTTGGGTACTCCACGGCTTTTCTGAGACTGTAAAGAAACTGACCTCGTCACCTAGTGTGCTGGCCTTGCCACCCATTCCTTCTTCCCGCTCCCAGTGCTGCCTCCATATAAAAGTTTTTTCTCCTCCTAAAAAAGTTTTTCTCTATAAAAATATGACAGACTGGAACAGACCTTCCTCCCCTGCAGCTGAGCTCCCTCCTCCCCAGCACACACAGACCTCCATCATGCATGCACTTTGCCCCCCACGGGCCTCTCTGTGCTATTCTAGTCCTGCTTTTATCTTTCAAGCTGACTCCTCTGTATCCTTGCTGGCCCTCAAACCTAGCCATACACCCTCATCGGTTTCCTTTTCATACTCACTCCTTCAGGGAACAGCTTTTCTTTCATGGCTTCAACTACCAAAATACTTCAGACAACTCCAAACCATCTCCACCACCGCCCCTACTCTGAGGGGCTAGACACCTCCACCGGAATGTCCTGCTACCACTCCAAGTCATTACTTCAAAGTAAAATGAGGGCTGATCCTCAAACCACATTCTTGATCTCTGTCTTTCTATTCCACCAATGCTTCTGTCATTCTCAATCTTCCATGTTCAAAATATTGTCATTTAAAAAATTTCACCATTGCAATCCTCTTTCCATTTCAGTTTCTATTATTCTAACCCAAACTCTCATCATTTCATATCTACTCCACTGCAATAATCTTCTCACTGTCCTGACTCCAGTTTCTTCTAGAACCAGTGCATCCCCATGAAGTTAATACACTGACTTTCCCCACACATTTCCTCTATTACTCTCCTGTTCATAAGCCTTCAATAACTTCCTACTGCTAAGAAAATAAAACTCGCCGGGCGCAGTGGCTCATGCCTGTAATCCCAGCACTTTGGGAGGCGAAGGCGGGCGATCACTTGAGGTCAGGGGTTCAAGGCCAGACTGGCCAACATGGTGAAACCCTATCTCTACTAAAAATACAGAAATTAGCTGGGCGTGGCAGCAGGCACCTGTAATCTCAGCTACTTGGGAGGCTGAGGTGGGAGAATCGCTTGAACCCAGAAGTGGAGGTTGCAGTGAGGGGAGATCGCGTCACTGCACTCCAGCCTGGGCGACAGAGGAAGACTCCATCTCAAAAAAAAAAAAGAAAAAGAAATCTCAAAATCTTTAGTTTGCCATTCCAAGCCAGCAAATCTCTTCACCCTTGCTAACTACTGTAAACCAATATAAACCCTCTGCACTATAGTCATTTTTCTTACTGTCCCTTTAACACACCAGGTTCTATGCCTCTGCTTTTGCCATTCTTCCTGTTGAGACTGCCTTCCCTCTCCTCTATGCAAGCTACGTTCTACCTTATTCCTGAGGCCCAACTCAAGACCTATCACTCTATAAAGCAGGGGTGTCCAATCTTTTGGTTTCCCTGGGACACCTTGGAAGGGGAAGAATTGTCTTGGGCCACGCATAAAATATATTAACACTAACAATAGCTGATCAGTTTTAAAAAAAATCCCATAATGTTTTTGAAAGTTTATGAATTTCTGTCAGGCTACATTCAAAGTCATCCTGGGCCACATGTATCCCACGAGCCACAGGTTGGACAAGCATGTTATAAAGGTTTCCACATCACAGCAGCCCATTCATTGCTCAGAATCTATCTATCGGCACCCAGGATACTCTATTCTGTATTGTGGCTTACCATAAACATGAATATACGTAGAAAGAAAATACACTTGTGTGTGTATACTTCCTAACTCCTGAATGAAACTTACCCCTAGAAAGGTTTATATTAGGCCTTTGAATTTCATCTTTGTACCCTCACTGAAGGTGATGGCCTTTGGCTATGACATTTTTTTTATTGTAAAGTTTATTTATTGAGACAATATACATAATGCATTTGTGATTTGATATTAATAATATCTGATAACAAGAAATGACTAAAAACATGAGTTTATTGGATCTATCCTGAAACATATTCTATTAACTGAACAATGGAGGACTGAAAGACAACTTCAATTTTGGACCATGCTTTTTTAGAGTCAGGGGTGGGAGAAAAGACCGTTTTCCAAACATTAATTGAACAATCTATTATTTCTCATAGTGTTCTTCTAGCTCCTTGCCAATGCATTATATTCAAGAACTTTGTGCCATTCATTTGAATTAAAGAATATTTAATTTATTTTAAGCAGAACCCAGTCAATGATTTAAGTTCATCTATATTGAAGTTTAAATTATATTCTGAAATTAGCATTCATCACAATATACCAGGTGACATTATTCAGTATTCCCTTCTTCATGTCAACTAATAATTTCAAACTGAAATTTAATTCTTTTACTTCTCTTTGAAATAAAACTGCATGCAACTGAAGAAGAGTGACACAATTGAGCTAAAATATTATTTCAAAAATTGTTAGTTTCTTCATAACGGTAAAACACTCTTACCTTGTATAAACAAATAAGGTTCCTTCCACATCAGTCTTCTCCTAAACAATAAAAACAAAACACATAAGACATGTATGTTCTCTTCATTCACAAAGGTATAAAACAAACTTCTCATAGAACAGGAATTATATCCAACTTCAAGTAGGTGAAACTGCAATGGGCCAAATATACCCAACATGAGGAGCTGTTCTCAGAAAAGTGAGAAAGCAAGTTCTGTGCTCTGCAGATTAGGCAGCAGGAAGTAGTCTTTATTTTGTCATTTATAAAATAAACCACCGTTATCTCTCTTTACCGAAGACAGGGATAGCAGCATACCTATAGCTAAAACAATGAGAAAATAAGTGTGCTGTGTGGATTTAATGAGAAAGAAGTGTGCTGCCTTTTTCTCCATCCACCACACTGGGTATAGGGCAAGCTGCAGACATCATGGATGTCTGTATTTCACTGTCCTTCATTTTATTTTCTGGGTTCATTTTCTCTTGACATATCCAGTCACTTAGGAGAACAGATGATCTGTTAATAACTCTACTTTGACTGCTAGATAGAGAGAGCATGCCACAGAGTTCTCAGGTGAATCAATCAACTACTTAGTGTATTATATTTACAGTCATCTGAAGTTAAGTTAGACAAGTATTACCAATAGGACTTGAGAAATTTGCCTGAGAAAATCTGGGAGAGGTGGTAAAGTTAAAATGATGGTTCATTTGACATTTCTTTTCCATTTCTCCAAAGGTAGGAAACCAGGTCATTATGATAATGTTCATCGATATGATGCATACTAAAAACACACATATACGTATCCAGATGTTTTATTCACCAGTAACCAGACCCATTGTAATTCGGAATTTAAAATGTACTTTTGCAATTGACATGGTTTAATTTCAGCATTCCATTTAAGCTCCTGATATTTTATAATTAATATTCATGACCATAATCATTCAATATTTAAGTACTCTGTAACTTTGGTGAAAAATACACCCTTTGAAAAAAAAGTATAACATCAAAACAGCAATTTTTAAAAGGCACACAAGGCATGATCCTCTCACATACTCAAGTAATTTCAGCAAATTTTCATTCACTTTAATTCAGTGGGTCTCAAAGTGTTATCCCCAGATCAGCGGCATCAGCATCACTTGGGAACTTATTAGAAATGCAAACTCTTGAGCTCCTACCCAAACCTACAGAATCAGAAACTCTGGGGATGGTGGTCAGCAATCTGGTTTTTATTAAACTTTCCAGGTGATTCTGATGTAGGCTAGTTTGAGAACCACTGCCTTAGTTCAACAACATACTCTCTGCCCTTGAAATTATATTAGGAGTCCTGAAAACAAAATCCATTATGTCACAAATTATATCAAACTATCATCAAGAGTAAATGGCTATAAAAATCACTGCTTAGTAACAAAATGTTTAATCACAAGATGTTTATTATTATGGAATGTGAAATTATAAATAAAAAATTTAGGCCAGGCACAGTGGCTGATGTCTGTAATCCCAGCACTCTGGGAGGCCAAGGCAGGAGGATCGCTTGTGGCCAGGAAGGAGTTCAGTTTATGACCAGCCTGGGCAACATATTGAGACCATCTCTACAAAAAAAATTTTTTTTAATTAGCCAGGTGTGGTGGCACATGCCTGTAGTCCCAGCTACTGAGGAGGGAGAATTGCTTGAGCCCAGGAGTTTGAGGCTGCAGTGAGCTATGATTGTGGCACTGCATTCCAGCCTGGGCAAGAGAGCGAGACCCTGTCTCTTAAAAATAAATAAATAATTTATAACAGTTAAAACAACTTTAGCCAGTTTTTTCCCTTACATATAAGCACAGGTAAAAAGTCAAGGAGTTAATCCTTAAACTAGATTCATTATGAAGTGTCTATAAATCACTACAATATACTGTGAAACATATCCTTATTTCTGAAATGTGGCCCATTTGCCACCGTACTTTGAAAAATGTCCAAGTCATTTTAAATGCTGCCTGAACAGTATCCAAATTTTTGGCTGTCCCTAAAGTTTAACTGATTCAGTCAGCGAGTATTCACAAGTCCACAAAGCATTTATGAATGAATTTGTAAAAACTAAATATTTGGTATTATCCATTACGTTGTTAGGAAACTGAGCCAAGATACAGGTGCTATAACTAGGACTTTGCAGAATCTCTATGTACTGTCAGGATCACTCCCCACAAGATCAAAACACTCTCCTGGTCTTCCAGTATCTGACCTTGGACTGTTTCATCTTAGAGATCAGAATCAGGATATCTATATATATCAGCACATATAAAACTAAATAGCTTCTGACTTGTTCCCTTTCTTCCTTGATGTAACAGAAATTCTCTTTTCTCAAAAAAAAAAAAAAAAAAAAAACCCTTTAATGACACATTTTAGTTTTAAAAAGTCCAAGGTCAGAAATGTAAAAGGCACGCTTCTCCTAAAATTAATCTTTAACTTATAACAAGCAATTCTTAAAACTAAGATTTTTATTTAGCATTACACACAAAGAATATGAGTTTGTTACTAGAAAGGAGTTGTGATTGAGTAATCACAACCTGGGACCTGGAGGGGGGTTCCTGCCAGATCATATTGGGCTAATCAGTTAATTATTATATGTCTCAGTTTAACCTGAAAAGAGATAACCAGCCTACACTACTCAGATCTTTTGATGAAGAAATATCAGGTGCTCTATGATATCTGGATAAAAGGGACTTTAAAAATGTACATTTCTGTTCCATTACAGCTGCCCAAATTCATGCACTTTCCTGGTCCCTCCACAGTTATCTAAGGGCAACCAGATTTTTTTTTTCTTTCTTTCTGAGCAAAGTCCAGGGTTAGGGATGTGGAGAACAGTTGAAACAAGATTTTATTAGATGTTCCTTAGATCCTTTAAGGAGGACTTGTACGTTAAAGTATTCGTTTCCAGTCTTGGGGTATTTTAGCTTAAATTTTAAAAGCACAATTTGATGACTTAATATTACACTCTATTATAAAATCTAACAAGTGCTAAAGAAATAAGCAATTCAGAATTCAAAATACTAAAAAATATCCCAAATGGAATATAAAATAGTGCCAAAATGGAATTCATCCCAAAATAGAATATAAAATAGTACTGTTTTGCAAATTCTGGGGACTCGACACACCATCTGACACAAAATAAAAGCAATGTCTATTTTAACTTGATTTTTCTCAGTTAAAATAATCAAAAAGTACATCTTAATTTATCCTCCCCAATCTCTCTTACCGTGCATGTAGCATCTGAGTCACCTATTAAACTTTCAACAATATCAAATGCCTGGGCCTCATTATCCAGAGGTTTTGGTTTGGCATGTTTCACTTTTTAAAAACTCTGAGTTATTTGGATACACCAAAAACTTAGAAAACCACTAGCTAGGAACACAACGTTAGTCACTGTAGGGCAATTTTCAGGCTCAGCATTCCCAGTATTATGACTCTATAGATGTCATAATACTCTTTCCCTCAGTGTGACAACCACAAACATCTCCAGACATTGCCAAGTATCACCTGTGGGCAAAATCAACTCCAGCTGAGAGCCATTGGTCTAAGGATTGAGAGCTGGTAAATACCAAGGTTATGGTCTTCAGTTGACACATAGGTATTAATATTTTAAGGGAGCAGTCTTTCCTGGCAACAGGGAGTAGGTCTAACTCTAAAATTCCTATTTCAGTCATGATGTAATCTTTCTTAATCCTTCTTTAAAGCAGTTCATTTTCTATACACCTTTCATTCCTAATATCTCCTCCTCCGAAAGTCTGAAGTCATTCTTCATCCATTTTCAGGGCAATAAGAATTCCCCTCCTTAACATCCCCCCTGCCTTCTTTTAAATATTTTCACCTCTATTCTCAAGAATGTTCTCATAATCTTAACAGGTTGACACTCAAACGGCTCCCACCCAGAGATCCTGAGTGACAGCACATGGAGACGGTGGTCAGAATTTGTTTGCCTCCAGCAACTGTTCTGCCACTGAACTAGGTCTCTCTCGTTTTGTGGCTACCACAGCCTTGAAGATCAGGACTTTGAAAGAATTAGGACCTTTTCCTGAATGAATTATGCCCTGTCTGAAGGCAACGTGTCAGCAAGCAGGAAAACATAACTCCTGTAAATACTGCATTGTGACACTTCTGCTTTTTGATAAGGCTTTTGTAGATGGGCTTCATTATTAGGTATCTAATAAACCTATATAACTATCTTAAAAGGTATCACATAGATAACTGTCAAAAGCCTATAGGAAACAACTATTATTTAAGAGAAATGCTCTACATTCTTTATATTAAGTTTCTCGGGATTCTCCAGACTCTAATCCTAGTGTCAAGTCAGCTTACAGGACTATACGTCCCTGGGCCTCATCGCTCCACTATGGAATTACTTTTACAGGATTATGACATTATACCTTTGGCATTTTTCTACAGTGCAACAAAATAACCATATGTAGAATATCTTTAAATATATTTTTAATTACCATGGAGGAAACTGTCTACTATGTTGCTCAATGGTCTTTATGTAAAGACCCAGGTAACAAATTACCGTGGAAACTAGGGGAAATAACCTCTTTCTCCTGATCAAGTGGTACATTTTTCTATTACATAAGAACAAATATTAAAGAGCTCTTCCTGTTCTCCTTTTGAGTTTGGCCACTAAGAGAGCAGACCTAAATTCTCTGCCCCATTCCAGTAAACTTCCTCTGTTAAGACCTTTGGCCAAAACTGTTTGTCTATCCCACTTTTGCGTGTCTTTTTATTTTATGTTAATGATTTTCAGGTGAGTTTTTACTACAGGCTGCTGATCTATACTGGAGATCAGTAGGCTTATGAATGTGGGTATTAAGAAAAATAGATTTGTTCAACATGGTTGTTTTCCTTAAGTTTTGATGTTTATACAAGCGACCTGAAGAACACAAAAAGTTTATCTGAAATCCATTCATCAAGGCCAAGTTCTCCATACTGTTTTGTAACTTATTTTAAAATGACGGATATCACATATGTGATATATAATGGATAATATATAATGGATGATGAATATTTGGACAAAAATCATTATGAGGACAGAAATAAAATTACATCTCTCTACATTCGAGTGGGTGGGTTACAAAATTACAAGCAGCAATTCCTGCAACAGGACTCCAGTGTTCCAGGCTTCTACCCCATTCTAATTGTGAGGACAATGAAATTTCATTCCATTACCATTTATTGGGACTCTGCTTTGAGAAGAGCACTAAAATAATTTGGCTCCCAAATGGTCTCCAATATCAAACATGGTGGGCTGTCGTGTAATAGTCTTTCCAAGAGCATCAGCCTCCTTCTAAGTGTTAGACCCTGCTCCATTTCGTCTTTTATTCGCCGAGGTTGGCTCTTTTCTTGGTGTTTCCCCTTACTTTACAACTTGCAGACTTCTCGCCTCCTATCAAGTTTTGATTTCTCTTTGCCCCATCTAAGACTGACGTTCTAAAACCAGAACTCTGCACTTTTATACGTCTGCTGTCCCTGCCTCCTCTATAGCCAGTTCTACTGTAACAGAACTCAGCTTTACTTTCTCAAGCACATCGGTCTTCTAGCCCAAAGGCATCAGGTTCTTCCTTTTCATCGGCTGTCAGGGTGCAGTCCCCGATCGGCCTGGTTTCCCAGCGTGGGGTACATTAGAGATTTAAGTCTTTTCCCCAACTCCAGGTAGCTCCACAGATCCGCCTCCCTTCCCCCAAACCCCCGGGACCCCATCTCCACAACTTCGGCCTCGGGCCCCCGATCCACCCACCTCCAGGGCGTCAACGTCTCCTCCCCCTCACTGGGTCCTCAAACCCCGAGTCTGACGCCCCCCCACCCCACGCCTCCACCCCAACCCTGGTCTGCACGGCTCTGCCGCGTCCGCACGCACCCACTCGTTGGCCCGATGGCCAAAAGTGTACAGAGCCACCTGGCTGGCCACGTCCACGATGCGGTTGATATAGGGATCATGGCGCCGCAGGGCCGCTAGGCTGATGTCGCGCCCCTTCCCCACCAGGCCGCTTGCCGCCACTGCTGCCATCTTCCCTCCCTCCCTGACACCGGCGCCGGGCTCTGGGAAGCCACTCTCAATAGATCGCAGAATGAGCGAGCTGCCTCGCAGCCGAAAACCCCGGAGGACCAGAAGGCCGGGGAGGCCTTCCGGCTCCAGTCACCCCAGCCCTCCTGCCCGCCGACGGACGCAAGGCCTCACTAATCGATGGTCGCGCCCCGCCCGCTGAGGATCGTTGCCACTGGCAACGACAAGCCCAGGCCTGCCCTCTGAATCCCGTTTCTTTCTCCGAGAGATGTTTCTCTTCGCGCCGGAGCTTGAGCTGTGTGCGCGGTAGGACTTCCTTCTTGGATATGTTCGACGCCTTGGCATATCTTTTCTTTGGCGCTTCAGGGATCAAACCTATAGCAATAAATAAGCCTCGAGCATCAAGAACTCTGAAGACAAAAAGAACTGAAATGATTTCTGAATGCGCTAACACCAGTGGTTCTTAAAACTGTAGTGTGGTCCCGGAACCCTTTGAGAATTTCTGAGACCCTTTAGGGGGATCTGCAATGTCGGAAAAAACCTTTTATGACAATGCTAAGACGTACTTATTTGACTTGTTCACTGTAATGACGTTTTGCAGACAATGGTGTTTAAAATGCTGGTGGCTCAACCCAAATAAGGCAGGGGCACCAAATTGCATTGTTAGTCAAAGTACCTGTCACTAACCTGCCTTCTCGGTTAAAAAAAAAAAAAAAAAAAGGAAAAGAAAAGAGAAAAGAAGAAGCTAGAGTCAGTGTCACCTGACGGTGTTCTTGATAAGCACTAAAAATTATTAATTTTATTGAAGCTTAATCCGTGAGTACAATTCTTTGTAGTATTCTGCATAAAAAATAGGAAACAGGCATAAAGCTCGTCTGCTGCACACCGGAGTGTGTCATATTTGTCTCTAGGAAAATATTTCTGTGCTTGCGTTGCAGGCCGAATTCATGTTTTTATTTTTATTTTCATAAAACATTTTTACTTGAAAGAAAGATGGGCAAACTATGGTTATTCAAACAGGTACTTGACAGACATTTTTCTGAAAATAAATAAAGCATGCCTGTCACTTTCAAGAAAACAAGGGACAATTACTGTTGCCAATGATAATTTTTAAGCCTTCAAGCCAGAATTAAAAGTTTAGGAAAAGTGTATCTACTGCCATGAGCTTGACAGCTTCTCAATACTTAATGTTGTTGTTGTTGTTGTTTTTTCTCTGATGAGATCACCGGTGATACTGAGTGCAATTTTAACAAATACTGCATAATGGAAAGTGTCAGTATCTGAAAGATCTGCTGAACTCAGTGATTCTGTATTTTCCAAATGACCCATGTCTCATGCCACATAATCATGCATAGGCAAAAGATCCATTCTAGAACAAGGTGGACTAATGGATTTTTAATGTAACAGAATGAAAAGTTAATAGGATTTCAGACAGCACATTGCAGCTAAACTTTGAGAAACTCCAGCTTGTCAAGTTTTGGCATATTATCCAAGAAGAATATCCACAATTATCCGAAAAAGGCTATTAAAATATCCATCTCTTTTCCAACTACATTATCTGTAAGAGGCCAGAGTTTCTTCATATATTCCAAACAAAACACACATAGCAACAGATTATAAGCAGAAACAGATATGAGAATCTAGTTGTCTACTATTCAGCCATGTTAAAGATATTTGCAAAAATTTAAAAGAATGCTTCTTTTCTCACTAAATGTTTATTTTGGAAAAAATTATTCTTCATAGAAATGGATTTATATTTAAGATCATTGTTATTTTTAATAAATGAATTAAATATTTTTAAAGTTTATTAATTTTAAGATGGAGTCTTGCTCTGTCACTCAGGCTGGAATGCAATGGCATGAACTTGGCTCACTGCAATCTCTGCCTCCCAGAATCAAGTGATTCTCCTGCCTCAGCCTCCTGAGTAGCTGGGATTACAGGTGCCCACTACCACCCCTGGCTAATTTTTGTATTTTTAGTAGAGACCGGGTTTCACCATGTGGGCCAGGCTGGTCTCGAACTCCTGATCTCAGGTGATCTGCCCACCTCAGCCTCCCAAAGTGCTGGGATTACAGGGGTGAGCCACTGTGCCTGGCCTGTTTGAAGTTATTTTTAATTTCCAATATGGTAAATATAGGTAGACATAACTCATATAAACAAAAGTTCTTTGAGGGAGCCCTCAATAATTTTTAAGAATGGGCTGG